CCCACCCCCCCCCCCCCCCCCCGCCCCCCCCCAGACACTCACACACACATTGGTTTTTTTGTTTGTGAGGACAAAAAAAAAAAAAACACAATACATTCCCAAACCTCATATATGTCTAATCTTAATCCTTCCCTTAATTTTCCTCCTAAATCCAAACTAACTCTTCAACTTAAAATACCCCCAGTCTTAATTATGACCTGCAGAATGCCCCCCCCCCAGGGACAAGGGGTCCCCACCACCTCATTTAAGAAACAAAAACACACACATGGATTTGTTTTTTTTTTGAGCTGTTACAAATATATGTAACTAATCCTAATCCTAATCCTAATTCACTCTCTCCAACTGAGAAATAACTACCCCCAGGTACACACACATACACAACTATCCACAGTAAGGGGGACCTGTGCTAAATCACTAACTGTAACACACACACATACACGTGTTTGGCCCTCCCTCAGCCCGGTCCACTCCTTTAATCTGATCAAACTCTTGGACCTGATGATGCAGCTTACGTTCAGTCCTGATGCTAATACAGCGCGATGCTAATACAGCGCGATGCTAGCACAGCGGCCCGGGGCGATGGGATACACATGCAGCAAAAGATCAAAGGACAGCAATACAACGAGTGGTGGTAATTGACAGCAGCGCCTCCAGCAGGCGGCGTGTGGGGTATTGATGGATATAAATGGTTCATCAATGTTTCGGTGGCACTGGGGGCTGCAGCCCCCTCTCCCCCCCCCCGCTACATCTCATCAAATATGTTTGTGTCTAGACAGCATTTATTAGGTACCAGGACGGGCTGGGGGTATTTATAAAGGGCATTCATCATTTGATTCAGAGTATGTAATGTAACTAATTGCATGCTGGGACAGAGGAAGAATGAGAATGGAAGAGAGAGGGAGAGGGAGAGAGAGAGAGTGATACAGAATGTGAGTCAATCTATTCAATAAGAGCTCATTTTAAAATGCTTAGAAAGTACTATTGAAAAGTGCCCTGCTATGTCCATTGATTAACAGGAGGTATTAAGTCTCATAAAGAGCTCATTATGCCCCAGCATCCATCACAGGGGCTATTAGGATCTCAGCCCTAATGTGTTTGTACCTGAATGGAGTGGAGGAGATAGAGCACGTGTGGAGAGAGAGACGTCCTGACTGTTGACTGAAAACAAAAGGCAACAAAAGACTGATCCATGTACGAGCAGAGACGACGACAACGACGACGACGACCGTCGTTATCTGAACACCGTCGCAATCAGACACTGATCAAAACGATCAGTGATGATACTCAAAGAATGGACATTTGTGACAGAAATAAAATCAACACATGGAGATGAGGAGTGGAACGTCACAAAAATGACCCACCCATCTCTCTCTCTCTCTATATATATATATATACATATATATATATATGTATATAAAGAGAGATGGATGGGACATATGGGTCATATGTATACATATACACACATATATACATATATATACATATATATAGACATATATACATATATACACATATGTGTAAATATACACATATACATATATACATATATATATGTGTGTATATATGTGTTCATATACACATATATGTATACATATATACA